TCCCTAAGTGTGACCTGTAATTATAGAAATACCATTTTCATAACATTACATGTTTAGTTTCAAGAACTGGGCTTCTCTTGAGGGAAAAAAAGGGTGCAAAAAGCTTAAGTTAGTTCACATATTACAATAATGGGGGCAACCATTACAGTATGCAACTGTCCAGAGTAGCATTGCTTTTATAGATTTGTTTCACAGAATTTTTTTTTCAAGAAAAGATTATAATTATTGGAAAATTAGACATTTAGTCTTGTTATATTTTAAATTGCTACAATATGTAACAGAGGAGTTTCTTGGCAGTGTATATACTAGAACCCCTAACATTTTTTCTGTCCCTAAAAATTTATTTTGTTTAATGTTATTCAGTAAGACATATCCTTGAAACATTATAGATAAGAGCTATGTGTATAACTAATACACAGTGGATTATGCATATCTAAGATCTTAGAAAAGCTTTTTCCACAAGTGAAGCCTTTGTTTGTTTATGTGTTTTCTTTTTCTCTTCTGTAATGAGTTATTTTGTGTGACAGGTGGGAGATTCAAGAAAGAGATTGTAGTTGATGGACAAAGCTATCTGCTGCTGATTAGAGATGAAGGGGGCCCTCCAGAGGCACAGGTGAGCATTCTGTATAGAGCTCTATTAAACTGGATTATATATCAGAATTAAAAATTAATTTTAAAAACACCCCAAAGTCAAGCCAATTTCAGGACAACGCTTCATGATTTCTTACCAGGTTAATTTTAAATTACTTTAAGAATGTAAATGTAATTGATTAAATATCTTCTAGGAAAAGATGGAATATGCTAATTACTCTTTCAAGAAGGCAGTAGCATATTGCTGGGCTTCAGTCTGCCCTCTGATGTGAAGAAGACATCTGATGTGCCTCAAAGAAGTCAGCTAATGTCACGCTTCGATCAAGTGACTAACATATACACTGTTTGCCCTTGCTTTCCTTAATGGCAAGATGTACATGCAGATGTCTTGCCTACTTTTGGGGTGAAATTTTTTTCATGTGCTTGAGCATATTAAGACTTTTTGTGTTCTGAATCCATGCACCAATTGCTAATGGGTTTTCTAGGGGCACTAATAACCATAAATGCATTTCAGATGAGAAATGTTTTTTAGTGTTCTTACTTGGTTACATATCTGAGTGCATAATTTGTTTAACTACATAACAAGAAACTACTCCAATTTCTGTTCCTCTTGTTTGTATTTTAAAAAACTCTGGTCTCCAGCCCACTATTTAAATGTATAAGTTAAATGCATAGGAACTCTTTGGCCCTACTGTATGCTTGGTAACTAAATTGTAAGATCTTTACTTCCATAACTGGTAAAACATTCTAGGAGCCATCAATTTCAAGACTGCTAAAGGAGACCTGACTGAATATGTCCCATCAACAGTGTTATGCATAACAAGGTGGAAAAATATTGGGGCAGACTGTTCCTCTTTTTAATTAGTATTGTTTGTGTTGAGTTTAGGTAAGTGTAAAGTTTATTTTTAAAGACCCAAGGCTATACACTGAAGAAGTACACACTGTACTTGTAGTTGGGTTATAAATTACTTCCTGACAAAGAAATATTAGATACAACATGGACTTATTTTCTTTGATGGTTCATTTCAAGGCTGTCTCTCTTCCCTGGGAAGATTGGTATTATATATTTAATTTTTAATTTAATTTAAATCCTTTTGTAAAGTGAACATAGCAGATGTGTATTTGCTTTTAATTTTGCCCTTCTCCTTCATTTCACCTTTTCTTCATTGCTTTCCCCTTATTTCTTCATAGTGGTAATGTCTGATTTTCCAGTCTTCAGTAGGGTGTAATTGTATTGCAATATATTTCTAAATTGGCTTATGTGTCCTTTTTAACATGTTGTCTTACGGAAAGCAGTTTCTCCACTGTGCACAGGATTTGCTGTTCTTGGGAGAAGATATAGCACATTCATTTTTTTTCCTGGTTACCTTACTTTGCCATGATGCAATATGAAAACAGTAAATGTTACTTATAAACATGTACTCATGTGGCCGTTCCATGAGCAAAGATGTTGAATACACAGTGATGTACAGGGGTTCTAGATCTCAGAGAACAGACTGCTCTCTTCATTTTCTCTTCACCTGGCTATTAGCAAGGTTTCTCTGGTGCATCAACTGCTGCTGGACCCAGTCCACTCAGCTGTTCAGTGATGGAACAGCTTCAAGCAACAAGCAGCCAGAACTGCTCTGAGGCCAAACAGCTGAATGGAGAGGTGCCAGCAACAGCAGCTTGTGTTTCAGTGCCCCACTATTGCTTATTAGTGATGGGAGGATTAAAGCAGGGGAAGAAGTGTGGACAAAGACAGGAGGGAAGGCAAAGGAATGAAGGGATACCTGTAAACATGCTGCGGAGCAGAATCGATTAATCATGGTAATTACTGTGCTCCAGACAACCTTTGTGTCTCATGTATTAGTGTTCCCATGCTTCAAAATGGTGCTGGGGCCGTTTGAACTAAAGCTCGTCAAACACTAATATATGAGACGCTACTAATACATGCACATAATAATACATGGGACACTGTGACACTTGAAATTAAAGCACACCCCCAGCCCCTACTTCCAGAGCATGTATAAAAGTGCCCACAGAGACTAAAGCAGATGATGTGTTTATATAATACAGGTTGCAGCCTGGGAGGTATGAGGTTGAGCTAGGCTGCTTAACTCTTGAGGCATGTATAAATTGCGTAAGACATGCTTCTGCTGGCTGGCCATTATGTAAAGTGTGTTTATAAAAATAATATATAAACACTTCAAAATGTGTATGGGCCCACAATAAGCTTACTGATATTTATGTACCAAGGGAAAAAAACCCAGCTTCCTGTATTTTCTTGGTATTGTTTGCTATTCAGTATTTTGTAGACAGAAAATATGTATTTATAGGTAACCTTCCGAACTGAATGTAAAATTGATAGTGTATTCCTTTTCAAAGGTCTTGATTTTTTAACTTTCAAATGAATAAGTCCCAAAATAAAATGTACTATTTCCAGGCACAAATATACTAACAAAATTCTTAATGAAAGTGAAGCATCCTCTGAAGAAAAAAAATTAACCTTACACTGCTATTTCATGAGGTTATAAGTCCTCCCCCCTCATGCTGTCTGCTCCTCAGGAGCTCAGGATTCAAATAGCTGTTCAGGTGCGTCTACCAGGAGAGCAAGCCTGGGAGAATTCTCCCAGATCATTTGAATGCATGTACATAGCCTTAGTGAAAGATGTTAAGTCAGCTGGTGGTGCTGTGACTTTCCTCCTCTTCAAACCATATCACTTGTGTTTACGTCACCTTTACCTTTCATCTTCAGCTTTGATTTTAGTTCTTATAGTTCAGTTACAGAAATATAGCAGCTTTTTCTGATAAAATACTATTATTACACCATGATCATAATTTGTTGGTGGTACTTGCTATCCATCCATTCAGAGTCTTTGATTCATCAGCTACTGGCATGGTTTGATTGTCTACTTGGACAGGTGTTCACCTAACAAACAGCAGCACCACATGCATACATGAGGGGACTTGATTTCTAACCCAGGTGATTTTGAAGCAGATTTGGTGAGGAAGTGGAATAAAGTTGAATTTGCCACTGCTTGTACTGCTTTCCAAAGAATCTACATTTTTGGTGCTGTCAAGTCAACCTAGCACTTCTCACAGACATTAAATTCATTCTGAGAATAACTAACTGTCAAAAAATAAAGTATTTTGTAACCAGAAGGAACTATTTTAAATGGTCCCATATTTTTTGGAAATCCTTATAACCTCTAGTAGATGGAATACCATTGCAGTATGGTATATTGGGAAGGAGTGGGAGAGAAGTTTTAACATTCTACAGAAACATTTAACCTTAAGAAATGAACTATTTCCAGGCACAAGTATACTTACACATTTCTTACTGAATGAGGCATCTTCTGAAGAAAAGCTTAAAAAATGGCACTTTAAAAGAATATCAGTGCTACAAATAAGTTCCAAACAAAATACAACAGATTCTAGTGCATGATTGTATATTAAAGTCTGAAGAATTTAGACTCCCACAATTTTGTATGTTTAATTTGTTTATTACATCTAGCATAAATAACATTTCAATACTGTTTTTTCCCATGGTCTCAAATGGATTAGATGGAAAGAAATATATATAAAAAAACAGTATTGCCAACTCGTATATTAAAAAATAATCGAGTTGCAAAACTGAAATGTAGATTTCTTATTTTTTGTCTGTAATTTGAGCTTTTAGAATTTTGGAATTTTTAAGGAATAAGAGCTGAAGTACTTGCATAATTTCATGACTTCAGAAGCAGGTGCTGAAAATGTGAAGTGTTGAAAGAACGGAAATATAATAACCTCAAGAGCTGGCAATACTCAGATACTAATGAGCATAAACTCAGGGCAGAAATATTGTGCAACATATTAATTGGCTTATAGTAACCCATTTTTGAAAGAAAGCGAAAAGGGCACTTCACTGGGACTTGGAAGACCTTGATATTGTTCTGAGCTCTGCCAGTGACTGCTATATCGGTTCACTCTTTTGCCTGTTTCCCTCCACATTTTTGTCTTGTCTGCTTAATTGTAAATCCTTTGCAGCAGAGTCTGCATCTTTCTAGGTGTATATAGACTGTAGTCTTTATGTTGAGGCTCTAAACACTCTGGTAATAAATGTAATTAGACGCACATTATTACATCATGGTTATGGTGGGAGTTGGTAAGCTTTCCATTAATATAAAATGTGCAATGGGAATGGATTTGGGTTGTAGCCGTGTTGGTCTAAGGATATAGGCAGACAAGGTTCCTTGGGTGAATTTGATATCTTTTATTAGACCAACCCAAATGGTTGGAGAATAGTTATTAAGCAAGCTTTCGGGTTCAAAAACCCTTTGTCAGGCTAAGGAAGCTGCAGCAGTCGGTGTGTGCTCTTCCTGGATGGAATGAAAAGTAAAGAAGCCAGGGGCTGGGCTGGGCTGGGCTGGGGAGTCAGTTGCCAGGCAGATTATAATGTATCAAAAATCCAATTTCTACCTTGAGTCCCTGATCTCTAGTATCCAGCAGGTTGATGAAATGGAGCTCATAGGCTTGTCTCTGGGATGTGTTGTGTAAGTTTCCCTTGAGGATCAGGACTGAGAGATTGGAGAGAGAGTGGCCCTCCTGTGAGAAATGTGCCCCCACCGGTAATTGGGTGTTTCTGTCTTTGATGGATTTCCGGTGTGCGTTCATTCTGGTGCGCAGTTGTTGTCTGGTCTCTCCTACATATCTTCCATCAGGGCATTTGGTGCATTGGATGAGGTATACTACATTCCTGGAGGTGCAGCTGTAAGATCCTGGGATGCTGATGGCTCTGTTGTGGGGTGTAGTAATAGTGGAGGTGGTGGAGATGTGGGGGCAGGTTTTGCATTTCTTGTCATGGCACGGTCTGGATCCCAATGGGAACGGAGACCTTCATTTATTGACTTATGGCAGGAGGGACCAACCTTTTTGGCAGGTACGCCACAAAGTAACCCCGCACCTTCCCTAAGTGCCACTCCAATCCCCTATCCTGCCTGATCTGCTGCTCTGCTTTCTGCCTTCAGCCATATGCTCCCTGCCTGATCTGCTGCTTTGCTTTCTGCTTCCTGCTCTATCTGCCATTGTCCCTTCTGTGATCTGCTGCATGTCATGCACACAGGTTGCCTGTGTCACTTGTGGCACCATTGTCACAGGTTGGTCATGTATGGTTTAAGAGATTTCTCCCTTATCCAGTTTCATCTGTGATAAGAGAATTTTTCTGATGGCTTGTTTTCCCCTTAAATACATTAAAACATACTCTTGAACCATGTCTATGTATACATGTTTCAAACTTTCATTAATTTGGTGATACCAGGGAGAACCACCTTACTTTTCAGATGATAAAACATTACATTTATTTTATTACTTATACAGTTAGGACAGTTGTAAATTTTGGTAACTGATAATTTGGTTTGATTTTATTAAAAAAAAATATTTGTGGGATTTTGATATTATTTTGAAGTTAGTACAAATCACTAGTTAGTGAAGTTAGTTAACTTTTATGCTTTCTTTACCTAGGGTATCAATATGCACAGGTAAAAAGAAAAAAGAGAAGTAAATGGTTGCTTCACTAACCTCTGTGTATTATATAACAAAATTAATTCTCTGAAAGAGATTAGGACTATATTTACATAGGCTCATGGGAAAATAGGGCTGAAAGGGACCTTATGTAGTCCAGGCCTCTGCATAAAGGTAGGGTCATCCCTGATTAAACTATCTGAGCCAAGTGTCAGTCCAGCCTGCTCTTGAAAATTTCCAAGGGCTGGAGATCCTACAACTTCTCTAGGTAGCCTGTTCCAATGCTTGACCATAGTCAAAGTTCCAGTCAGAAAGTTTCTCCTAATCTCCAACTTAAATTTCCTTTGCTATAGCTTGAGTCCATTGCTCCTAGTCCTGTCCCCTGTGGCCATAAAGAAAAGACCATCTTTTTCCCCTGCATAATTGCCCTTAGGTATTTGAAGACTGTTATTAACCCTCTCCCCGCCCTACCGCCAGACAAAATAACCCTTTTTTCAAAAGCCTTACCTCTTAGGCCCATAATCGTTTTTGTAGCATATATTAGTGAGGTAAAGATGTTTGGGGGACTCTACTTTATCCACGCCATTATTATAAATGTTAATCTACACCTTAACAAGCACCAAACACACCACAAATATAAAAATGAAACATATTTTTTTAGCATTGATAATAACTTTTCTCTAATGGATCATTCTCCCCCTCAGCTCTGCCAGTACAAGATAAACCCATTGTTTTTATTCTTCGCTTTTTCACCGAATGTCTTTCCCCCTCCTTTATTTTCTACAGTTTGCCATGTGGGTGGATGCAGTTATATTTGTCTTCAGCTTGGAAGATGAAATTAGTTTCCAGACTGTTTACCACTACTATAGCCGTATGGCCAACTATCGTAACACTAGTGAAATCCCAATGGTACTAGTGGGAACCCAGGGTAAGTAAACTTGATTATAATTTCTCTAGACAGATATAAGTTCCTCACTTCCTGTCTTTTATAGTTCATTCTCTTTGGTTAGTTACCTATCTTAAAGTGTATTTTAAAAGGATAATTTTGTAATGACAACTTTTTAAAAGAAATATTTAATTAGATCCACTTACTTTTGTATCAGCTTGTTTGGCAAAATTAATATTTGCAGTCATTTGGTTGCTAAAGTCCAACATATTCCATGTTTTCACAAGTCACATGCTCCCTTGTCCTCTGCCCCCCTCCCACTATACCATGTGGGGTTATCCTGAGCCCTAGGGACAGAGGCAGGAAGTTGGAGGTGGGGGGGAGGGGAGACTGGAGACTCTGGGAGCAGGAGAGTGATGGGGCAGTGGGGAAGTGGTGCCTGGCTGGTGAATGGCAAGGGGGAGGGGGGCAGGGGCGGTGCTGCGCTGCATGTTTAACCTTTGGGGGTTGTATGTGACCTGTGGACTACCAGTAGGACAGGCCTGGCCTTTGGTATAAATACTTTAGGTAAGACTTAGTTCTCTCTTTTTTTTCTTTTTTAAATGTGCTACCACAGGGGTAGGCAACCACCGGCATGTGTCCCAGAGCGTGGACCTTAGAAAACCTCCCATAATAGTACTTAAATCTTTCCCTGGAAAAAGAGTAATCTTATAGAATCATAGCCATAGAACATGGGTGCTCAGCCTCCAGCCATGGGCCAAATGCAACCTGCAGAGCCTTGGAATCCAGCCCATGGGGCTCCCCATAGGTTGGGAAATTTGGCAGGAGGGGAACATTGGCAGTATTGCAGGCCCTGCCAAATCGCAAGCCCCTGCAGCACCTGTGCATGGTCATATTGGAGCCAGGCCATGCCCCCTTCCCTCCAGACATCTGGGTTGGGGCTGGGCAGCACTCATTTACCTTTGTGACCCCAGACCATACCCACTTCCTTCCACCCAGCCAGGTTGGGGCTGGGCCATGCCCCTTTTCTCCTGTGGGGCCAGTCTATGCTGCCTCCTCCCCTGAGGGTCCACGTTTTGGCTCAGCCCAAGTCTCCTTCCACCACGTAGCTGGATTGAGGCTGGGCTGCCCCCTTCTGCTCTGGGTGTGGCCCTGCTGGGTTCAGGCCACAGACGGATTGGGCACTGCCTTTCTGGCCTGCCAGCTGAGGAGGTTGAGTACCACTGCCATAAACAGTCTACAGTTTTAAGTTGTGAAAGGACTATGGGATTTTGTAGCTGGGAAGCATGTCAGGACCATCAACATCTGCGTTGCTGTCCAGTTGTATTGAAAGATTTCTGTTTGGGAGCAGAAGGAAAAGATAAATGTAATGAATTTGTCACATTGATTCCTTTCCCCCTGTCCCAATCAGCGTAACTATTGCAGGTGCAATTTCAGATGTTTACTTTTAGCTTGCACTAGTGTGAGAGAGTGTAGAGGTGATTTAGTGCTGATAGTGTTTTCTTGGCTTGTATTTTTGAGATGCTGGGGATAGGGAGTGACTTGTGAAGCAAGGGAAGTAGGGAGAAGGCACATGGCAAAGAATAGCAACAGAGCATTAAAGCGGAAGCAGATGACAGATAAAAACAGGGAAGTAGATGACATGAAAAATCCTAGCATAGCAAAAAACTTCAGCAAAAACCAGAAACAGATTGCCGAATGGGCCAATGTCAACTTGAGAATTGCACTTTTTTTTTAAACGTGTATGTGGGATCAGTGAAACTTAGCAGACCTATAATGGAAAAATTGGAGGGGGAAGTAATTTTCTTCTGCTTTGTTCTTTTACATCACTGTACACGTCTTTGTCTTTGGTCCTTGTTACGCTCTAAGCCACATTAATGTTAATCACATTAGTGTTGATTGACTTGGTGGAGTAGTTGTATTTTAAAGAGAAAAAACATCTCTGACTATACTTGCACAGCTATGATTTGCCAGTAGAGGCTTGTTGAGCAGGGGCAGGACTGGCATGCTGTTCCCACCAGTCAAAGCAAGCGTCACAGCTTTGGAGCTCACTTCCTCTACCCAGTGGGAGCAGCAAGCCAGTCAGGCTCTACCTGGTAGGAGCAGTGAGTGCCACAGCCCTGGACCCATATTGAGACTTTCATTCAGGTAAAATAATTGCTGCCTCTGTGTTTTACTTATTTTATTTTTTTGTCCAAGCCTCCTTTTAAAGACCCCTAAGGTAGGAGCCAGCACCACTTCCCTTGGAAGCTGGTTCAAGGGAATGAACATTGCTGTCTCTGAGTTTTGTGTTAATGGCAAAGTATGGAAATAGAGTAAAGTTTTACTGATTTTGAAAAAAGCCTCCACTCTGGTCACCCCTCCTCCTTTCTTTGGGAGGAGCCAGACCTGAGAGCAGAGCCGAGCTGCTGCTGTTGCTGCTGCTACTTCCCTGGGGCAGTAGCTCAGCAGTGCAGTGTCCAAGCTGGAGCCTGAGAGCTGGTGGAGTAGGGATAGTGTGGGCTGGGCTGTCCAGCAGGGTCCTGGCCCTCCTGCCGCCACTTTGCTTGTTGGTGGAGGGTGTGGCTGCAGGGGGAGCTTGGGGTGGTGGGGCTCTGAACCCAGGGTTGCAGTATTCACTGCCCCTGCCAGCCAGAACTCAGACTAGCTTGCTGCTCCCTCTGGACAGAGCAAGTGAGCTCCACAGTTGTGGGGGTTGCTCTGTCCAGGGGGAGCAGTGAGCCAATTCAGGTGTTGGCGGGAGGTACCATGGCTGGTGGTCATTCCAGGACTGTGCCACTCACTCTGTTCAGTACATCTGGGGGATAAGGCACCATGTCCAGCCCCACTGCAGTCCAGTGGCCCAGCTCATCCTGACTCGAGATGAGCCCCATTGCATTCTGGGATGCTGGATGACTTTAACTTTCGTAAAATAGCTATAGGGAGTAGCCACATCTTGGGAACAAAATTACGTGGATTAGAGATAATCTTGCCCAGAAGTGGTGTAATTTTAAGCCAAACAATGAGTGCTTTAAGACACTTAAAGGTGTTAATGTGCATCCAGTTCAGGGGTTAAGAGCTCTAGAAGCCACCTAAAATTACTATTCAACAGTGCCCTCTCTTTCCATGAGCTTTTCTGAGTTTGTATAGATCTTTTCCACTACAGCACTGGGGAGGGTAAATGACACATGCTTCTTCAAGTGACTGCCACTCAAGTTGAAAATTGGGGGGCAGAGGAGGAGTTGGTTCCCTTCCCCCTGAATTTTATGGTGACAGATGTATCTCTCTTACTGCTGGCAATCGTATTAATTGTAACTAGTCACTGGGAAGATGCTTCTAAGTGTTATGTCCCTACGAGGGTCTGACTTTCTCCTGCACACTAAACTGAAACTTTTGCCTTTTGAAAGAGGGTGGAAAATAGAGGGGTGCTTTCTTTCCTAATTCCCCAAGGAAAAGTGCAATCCAGATTACAGTACTGAATTCTGTTTGAGAGCCAAAAAAGATGATCTGTTGGTTGATGCTGCTAATTTTAGGTTCATTGTTGGCCAAATGCCTATAGCACCCTCTGCTGGTTTTTAAAAAAAATATCTAAACTTCATTCCCAACATAGTTGTTTAAATTGCTTGATTTAGATAGGAAATACCAAAATATAAATAATATATTTCAGTTGGTACACTGGCAACCAAGATGCATAATATTTTCAAGTTTTTAAATTATATACTTGAGACATGAGTGCCAAGCACTGCCTAGTCAATTAGCATTTCTCTGAATGCTGAGCACTAAGCAAAGTAGTAGTGGAAGCTGAGCAATAACACTTCCAATTACTGGGAAATCCTGGTGTACAAGTGGTTTATGGTATAAGATCAAGTGTAGTTAACTATAGAAGCAATTTGATATCTTACCTTTGAAGTGAAAGAATAATAACTGATTAAGTATTGCTTATGATGGTACCAGTAAGTACCATCCTCTCAGTATCTTCCTATTATTATATTAAAAAGGTTAAATTCATGGGGTGCCAATAGCAAAAAGTATTGTCAGTTTGGGTATATTTGGAGGTTCAGTGACTATCCCTCAATTTCAGGTAGAACAATTTCCTTTGCAATCCTTTGTTTCCCTTGAAACTGTCTTGAATTGTTCTCTTACAGGTGAGTGTTCTGGTTAGAGCACAAATTGTTTAGCCTCTTTTGAAATAAGAAGGTAACATTAAGGGAATATAGTGTAGATCAATCCTTAGGTGATATATGAATTTTGAGAATTGGGTTTCTGAAGAGCTGTGCATGATTTTATCCTAGAAGAAAAGATGGTTCTAATTAACCTGGCCCATCTAAATTATCTTCTAAGTGTGTGTAGGTTTGTTTTCCTAAGCTCATTGTTGGCTTTTTTATAACCAGACTCCAACAATCAGACAAAGTCTTTTTGGTGAGTAGTGAGTTTCAGATCAGGACTTCAGAGTGAGTGAAAGGGAATGTGGGCAGCGTGAGCGAGCATATGCTTTGACACTTAGGGTTTGAAAGAACCTAGCTAGTCGCTTAGGCAAAAGTTTCTGAGGAATTCTTTGCATTGTGGAGGGGGCAACTGTGTTTCCCTCCGAGGAGACAAGAGAAAAAAAAATTGTCAAGTGGTGTAGGTGAAAGCTCCATTTAACATACCGCTGTGCCTCTGAATTCACCTTCAGGACATACACTCAGGTAAATGAAAAGCAAAGCTAACCCTAGTGTTTGTAGGATGTGTAATGTTTAAAACAACATGCTGCTGAAAATAAAAAGTATGTAGGAGTTAAGGAGCACTCTTGTGGACAAAAAACATATGCTGGGCATGAGGGGAGAGTTATGGAACTTAAAATGTATATTTTGGAATTCATTGGAGGCTTATTCTTGATCCGTAACAACCTTTTTTGTTTTTGTGCATTTTTGTGCAAGAAACGGGAAATACTGTACAGTACAGTTACATGGAGCTGTCATTTTATGTTTCATGATTAAACATGCAAGTTGTGAAACATGGTAGTTCAAGGTTGCATGTGCAAACAATAACCTTTCTCCACTTAGGCCTCTGTGTTACAATAGGAGATGACACAATATTTCTTTTCCTAGTGTTTTGTATACCCAAGTATCCATGAATATTTTTAAAATAAATGTAATCTGTAACCTACCAGGTATGGAGTAGTGCATAATAATGAGAGTTAGGTATTCAGAGTCATTTCATGATTTCAGGGTCATTGGCTGTATTTTATGAATTCACCTTTAACTTGACACAGTTACTGTTTTCTGTCCAGTAAGCTAAATGAATCTCTGTTATCTTCAAGTAAAATTCAGTTTCCAGTTTCTTGTCTAATTAGAAAAATATTGTGTGAGGTTCCAGTAGTATGGAAGCATAAATATGGAAGATACATTTTTCATTAGAGTTCAAGCATATCAAATCCTTAATGAAATAATTATTTCTAATGACTTCAAATTGTCTTTAATTACTTTAATTATTGTAATTGTGTTCCATATGTAATTGTAACCTAAGACATGGTTTTGGGTTATAATTATATGTAGAATATAGTAGCAAAGATTTTGAGAGAGATTCATTAAAAGGATTCCGCCTATCTGTTTTTCTCTGAGATATACTTCCTAACAATGATTGATAACTGTGTTATGACTTCTGTAGATATTTTGTTGAATGTGTAGTAGTTGAATTCAGAGGAAAACCACGGAACTTTAACACTTCAAGGGGAAGATATTTTCTATAAATTAAAGATAATTTACTGAAAGTTATTTATTGAGCACTTGCAACTTCCATCAATGCTTAGAAGTCATAATTATCCAGCAGCTTTGATTTATTCCCGCACAAAACCCCCACCCCATAAAGATGCAACTAAATATTAGGGCTATGTGAAGCTTCAGGTGCTGATTCGGTTCAGGGGAGATTTGGCCCGATTTGGTGACCGAATCTCCAAATCTGAATCAAATCGTGAGACCAACAAAAAGGTCCGAATTGATTCAAAGCTCTCTGAATCGATTTGGAAAAGATTCAGAGAGATTTGGAGATGCAGTCAGTATCTGCTCACCGCCACGGGGAGCTGGACCCGGACTCCGTGCTGGTAAGTAGGGGGTGGGGGAGGGGGGGCTGGAGAAGGGGGACCATGGGGGGACCCCTGCCAGGCCCCATCCCCTGCAAAAAAAAAAAACAAAAACAAAAAAGCCCCGCATTCACTGGCTTCTGCTAGGCGTGGTGGTGATCCCCGCTGCCCCCCACTATCCTGCACTGCGTGGGGGGCTCTGCCAGAGGCCCCCTCCCCCTCCTGTGCAGCGTGGGGCAGTGGGGGGCAGCAGCCGGTGAGTTCGCACCTTTAAAAAAGAAAAGTGGGGGGGGCCAGGCCACTGGGGCTGGGCAGGGCAGGGCAGCCATTGACTGGGCTGGGAGAGTGGGCAGGGGAGGGGGGCTCGTGGCAGAGCCCCCCCCATGCAGTGTGGGGTAGTGGGGTACAGCGGGGATCCCCACTTCCCCCCTCCCCCCGGCCTGGCAGCAGCCAGTGTGTGGAGGACTTTTTTAGAGCTGGGATGCTGGGGCTGGGCGGGGCAGCCATCGATGGGGCTGGGAGGGCTGGTGGAGGATGGGGCCTGTTTGAATCGAAGATTCAGCAATTCGGCAGTGGCCAGATCTCTGAATCAGATTCAGCCATATTGATTCGGGACAGTGATTTGAATCACCGAATCAAAATACTGTCCCCTGAATCAACTGAATCCAAAGCGAATAGTAGCCGCTTCACACATGCCTACTAAATATATCTAAGGATGTATTTGTATCTAAAGATATGACTAACGATATAACTAAATGCTTATGTCAGTGGGAGAGAATAGAACATAAACTGATGTATATTGTTTCTCATTAAAACAATGGTAGTTTTCATGTAAATGTGTGTGTAGCTGTCAGAAGCAATAAAATAATGCTGCATGGTATTTGATGAATTTTAGAATTAGCATGCAATGTCATTTAAGGTTGTGCATAAACTACAATTCCTTTTACATGTTTATATAAACTGTGCAGACTGCTGGATGAAGGTTTCATATATTCTTGGATTACTTGTTGGGCCTGATAAGATTACTTTTTTGTTAAATATAATATAGTGTTGCTTAAAGATATAGAGAAGGGCAATTGCTAATGGTGGGTTTTTTTTCGTACTGCTACTACAGATGCTATAAGTTCCAGTAATCCTCGTGTCATTGATGATGTCAGAGCAAGGAAGCTGTCAAATGATTTGAAGAGATGCACTTATTATGAAACCTGTGCTACTTATGGACTGAATGTGGAAAGGGTCTTTCAAGATGGTAAAGATCATTTCATTTCTTACACAGCATTTCACAAAATACCATAATCTGTGAATTCTTGGAATTTAACAAGTGTCTGTTGTATAGCTCACATCCATGGAAAGATTTCATCTCAGTTTTGGTCAAAATTAAAAAAACAAGTTGTTGTTTTTGTTATTATTTTTTATTTTTATACCTGCAGAGTCCAATGAGTAATTGTGGTGGTGGTGTTCATAGCACTGTACATATACAGAACATTGTTCTGTCTCTGCTCTTATGTGCAACTGCAATTGATCTGTTGCATATAATTACCACATAAATAGATATATAACATAAAGATGCAACTAAATATGTCTAAATAGGTATGTCTAATGATATGACAAAAAATGCAACTAAACATTTAGGTTGGTGGGAGAGAGAAGAATATATATTGATAAGATTATGGTTCATAAAATCAGGATTAGAAATTTCATAGTATCCATGTGGTCTGTATCAGGTGGCAGCTTTGTATGCCCATCAGAATTGCAAGCATGTCTTGAGGAATTTGAGAGCAGATGAAAGGGGTTGTTCATGGAAAGTGTTCAAAATTATTAGGGGCAGCAAGTATAAAAAAAAACAACAGCAAATATGGCTTGATTGACTAATGTAGTTAACTACTGGTGTAGTTAACTATTACTCCTATACTTAGAAAGTTTGACTGTTTCTGAAAAGAGCTCCTATGTGTTCCTAAGGGAAAAAAATACAGTGCTGAAAGTATTCTGCTTATGAAAATGGTCTTTGTGGTCCCCCTAGTGGAAGTTCTATATGTTGTTTGTTTCAGGCGTGTATTTTATTTATTGCTGCGATAACCAAATCATTGTGTTAACCCCCTTACAAAAACTGTTCTCTACAGTACTTGTTCTGTTTTTTCTTTAAAAAAAATAATTAGCTGGAATTTGGCTACCATCGGTATTTCTGGCTGTGCATGGTTGTACAGGAAAATTGACGGGATTAGCAATGACCAGCTCCTCTAGGAGTTCTCAACAGATCCCAGGCCTTTTAAATGGATTGGCAACAAATGAGTAGGGTAGGCTTGCAGCCTTGGAGGGTGAGATCTGCTGAAGTTTGCCAATCTTGTTCTGTAAATTCGAACAGCCAGAAAATAGAGAGGGCATCTTAAAGGAGAGGTCTCTCTGGCTGTCTTCTTTATTCTAAACTGTCCTCTGCTAGTAGAAATGGTCTACCTTTCAAAAAGCCTTTCAAAAAATCATGATCAGTAGTGACAGATTGTTCAGATTATGAGGTTTAGTCTGGTGTTTAGGTAACATGGTACTGGTAAAATTTTTTTTAAATGTTTCTACTTTCTCTGCTATTTTTCCCTTCAGGAACTGCCCTTCTGTAGTTACAGGAGAGATTTTATTGTGTTATTAAGTGTCTATGTGGTGTACATGCAAAAGACTCCAATCAAAAATACAAGTAACTGACCCACTGAAATGCAAATACTGAAGTGAATTGTCCAAGATTAAATGACAAATGAGATGTTCTATTCATCTACTTCACGGTGCTTCTGCTAATACAAGTTTAAATAACTTTCTGAACATTTGGCACAGATTTTAACAACACAGGTGCTAAAAACTCCACACTGTGTACTCTAGAAATTCCCTGAATCAAAGATGATTTTCTGAAGTCTTGATTGGATAAAGACAAACCATTAAATTCCTTTGTGTTTTGCCTTTACTTGAAGTTCATTTTTCATTGCATATCTTGAGCAACTCTATTTCTCTCTGGCATACAGTTAGTTTACAGGGCTGGATTGAAACAAGCGCAGCCATGCAGTGTGGCACCACATACTGCACATTCAGTTGTACTCCATACTGCAAGGGAACAGAGCAGAGGGGTTTTTTGACCCCTATCCAGGGGTCAACAAAAAAAGCAGTGTTGCATGTGATGGAGCCTGCGGTGGAGCCGCCAGAGCCGGAGCCTGGTTGGCTGGAGCCGCACTCCACTGCCAGTCAGGCTCTGCGAGGCAGGACAGCTACAGCTGCAGCCCTGGGAGGCCCCCAGGACCCTGGATAAGGGTAGTGGGCCCAGCCCAGTGCTGGTCTTCCACTCCCCACCCGAACCTGGTGTAACTTGCTGCGCACCACAGCACGTGTGGCACAGGCGTTCCCCAGGGACAATTAGTGGCAGCATAAGGTGCACCACCACTAGTTGTCCCTGGGGAACCAAATGTCCACGCATGTCTGGATGCAGCCCAGTTGCACATCGTGCTCCAAGTGAAGATAGTTCTGTCATTGATTTCAATGACAGAAGTGGTAACTTTGGTTTTCTGACCACAGTGAATGGCAAATGATCCAAATTGGAATCAGAAATTGACTGTTGAGCTGAATTACACATCCTTGGGGAAATGTTGAGAAAGATTCAATATAATTTACCTATGATTTATACCTCTAGGAAGTGCCAGATTGAATTTATGTTTAAGAGATGGTATGGTTGCTCTTTCTAAGGGATCCTGTAGGGCAAACAAAATTACAGTTCACTGAAAACTAAATAAAAGGATCATTACTGTATTTCAGTGCTTTGCCTTAAGTGATGACTGAGGGAGGATAAAATTATTTTCAGCTGTTAAGCCAATCTGTGATTTATAAGAAATATCATCCCTAGTTTTGCAAATTTGCCCCTTTTACCTTGCTAGTCAAAGAACTGCAAAACTGTTAGTGAAACCATACTTAACAGTCAAATAAAGATTTTTTGAAAAGTTCAGTATTTTAAGTGTTTTAACTTATGCTGGCATGGGGTGATACTGAATATACTTATTCCTGATCTAATTCACTGAAGACACCTACAGTATCATTATGACTATACCAACAGGTCATAAGAGATTGCTCATTTAAGGGATTACTTATTAGTGGGGAGATGGCAAATACAGAGGATTTTAGTTTCTTGATATTGATTTTTCTATGCTTAGTTTAATGCTGTATTCGCTTTTACATAGTGTTTCATGTCTGCAAGCAGCATAAAGCATTACATTGTAATTACGTTTTCACTGTACTGCCCAAGATGAGAGATCATTTATGAGGAAACTGAATCCTTAGTTCAGCCAGGTTCTGGAATCACTGCCTACCCCTTCTTCTTCAGTGTGACTGTTCATGGGCTTAAAATAAACGCATATGCTTAACTACCTGTAGAATTGATGCTTAAAGAGATTCTGCCCATGAGAGCCTGTCAAGTGAGGGGACAAGCAGGATAAGACCTCAGAAATTGCTTGACTCTCCAACAGTTCATCATTCCTCAAAACCAAATAGCATTCAGTATTATTGTTACAATTTTTTCAGGTCCGTTCCCTAAAGAGCTGTCAAATTTTAAAGACTTAATTTGTAATTGTGTATAAAAACAGAAAGAAGTAGATGGGATAAATGAAGACATGTTGTGGTAGTAAGGTCCTGCTTTTTATTCGCTTATGAATATGGACATGTCTTCATGACTCAAGATTTAAAAAGTTTGGCTGGAGTTTGTTTTGTATGTGTTGCTTACGCTGATTGCGAAATAGCTAATTCAAGGAAGATTTCACCTGATTGTGTATAAACTTGGTGTCCCGGGGGGAGGGGCGCGATAAGGGGCAGGAGACTCCTCCCATGGCATGGGTCGCGGTGGGGATAACCTGCCATGACAACGAGAAGGAAAGCCCCGAGAACAGGGCAAACTTACCTCCCTCAGACACAGCCAGGCCAGATGAGCCACAGAGGGGCGGAGCGCCCGCACGGTTCACCAGCTGCTTTTCTCTGCGGCTGGGGCCGGCCCAGCCCGATGATGTTAGCAAGGAACGCCGCCTGGCAGGGATAAAAGCTGGCAGCGGGAAATCAGCTGGGGGGGGGACTTCGCATATGATCAGAAGTTCTTCTATAGACTTTTTATTGGGAGCTTATTTTTGTCAGGTCATGTTTTTGGTCATTCTAAGGTTTAAATTGATTTTTTTTAATGGACTTGTCATATGAGTGCCTGCTTTTAATATTTTTCTATACCACCTCCCATGGAATTACTGTGAGGTAAGGTACTATCACAATAGGAGTACCAGAAGTGGGTCCAAAACTAGAGTTCCTAAAGTCATATTTTCTACTGCACTTGGTTTTTTGGTGACGGAACAATTATCTAAAGGTTTCTTTTAATCCCTATCAGTCTGGATGTTTTTAGATTTCTTCATTAACATGTAGTTCTCAGTTGTTACTCATCAAAATAGAATTTATCAATGACAGTGAAATCATTATTTTAATATTTCTTGTCAGCATAGTATTATACTGACTGTGTTCTGCCCCAGGATGTCTCTCTAATGACTTGAGCCTTCTTGAATTAGCTTGATGTACCATTAATGCATAAAAATTGCTTTTATGTTTGTTCAGGATGTAGTAGTAATTGCATATCTTTGCTTTCTTTTTTTATGTTCAGATGCTCTCTGACCCATATATAACCTTTCTCTATGTAACCTTTGCATCAGATACCCATGGAGAAACATGTCAAAATGTTACCTGTCTTTGTAACATTTTTGTTTGAATATCTGACTACAAACTTGAGTTTTTAATGTGAATTTGTTTTAGCCTGAAGACTATATTGTAGTTAATTTAGTTTTGGTTTTGTAGTTAGTTATTGAAACTAATTCAGTGTGTATTTCAGTGAGCACAACTGAATCTAGACAAAAAAAATCTTTGTTCTGCATAGTATCATTGTTCATATAGGTTAAATGCTGTTGTAGAATAGTTAGTGTTAAAGTACAAAGTTGGTTCATGTTTCTTAATTACTAAGCTATGGTTTTTTTTTCTAGAACAAATTGCTTGGTTAGTATAGATTGTTTGGTTTGGTAGCAGTGATACATAATTCAGGCCTTGCCATTATGTATAGAGGTAAGCTAACAAGAAGCCTTGTCAGATAAAGGATTGCTACAACTTCAATGTTGTCTGCTATGTTGTTGTTAAGGTTCCACTAAATAAATTAGTGCAGACTCTGGAAATAAGCTGTCAGTGGAGTGGAGTCTTTCAGTCTATTTAATTATCCTCATTACTGTAGGTGGCATGGCTGCAAATTGTTTCCTACTAATAATGGTGATTTTTTGACATTCTAAGGTAGTTTACAGCATGCACCAAACCAAACAAGGAAAATGGTAAAAGACCCTCAGAAGAATGTGTTTAGTTGTGTATTGGA